TTGGAGTGGTGTGTGCACAGGGTGTGAGCAGGCCTGTGCGCAGTGTGGGCATGAGTTTGCATCCTGTGTTTCAGCACTTGGGTGTGTCTGTCTCTGTGTGTGTGCCCAGCTGCATGTGCTATTTTACACAGAGGTATGAACACACAAGTTTGGACTCTTAGAAGTCAGTTTTCCATCTCTACAACAGGTAACCTAGTTTGGAGGTCCTCTGGGGAGTGGGGCGGGGAGGCCAGACACTGGGGAACCAAGGCCGGCCCTCCTGCCACGCCCTCCAGCAGCTCAACTCCTGCCTCCGTGCCTCCCACCACTTCACCCTCGCAGCGACCCACAGACACCTATGTTACTCTCGCCCTTTCACAGATGAGGAAACCAACTCTGAAAGGTGAAATGAAGGCCAGAAGTAGTAAACTCAGCTGCTGGTGCCGTTATTCGGCTCTGTCTGAATCCAAAACCTGTACCTGAAGCTTTCATTGCTCACTACCTTTCCAGAAATTATCTGGGGCCGGAGAAGGCCCAGGAAGGCCCCCGACTGCCCTGCCAGGGCAGGGCAAACTTGGGCACAGCACGAAGTAGTCAGAGTATTGTGCTCGAACAGTACAAATCCTTTACCAAAAGGTAGCATAACTCATGTAAGTAACACTGGGTAGGAAGGGCTGGCTGCATTTCCAGGCTGCTTTCAGCTCCAGGGCGCTGCTGACCCTCCCAGCAGATGAGAACTGAGAGCTGAAGCAGCCCAGCTGGCAGAGAAGCCTTGGATGGCGGCCGAGTTCCAGAGGTTCTGCTGCTCTGGTTCAGGGTGGGCCGGGACCCCCTGTCTCCAACAGTCCCACGTGCCTGGAAGGCTCTGGGCCCAAGGGTGGAAGGGGGCTGGTGCCCCGCTGCCTCTCCATGGTGCCCAGTGTGGCCTGACTGCTCTGTCTACTTCTGGAACCCCTTCTCGCCTCCGGTCCTCCACTGGGACAGGCTCTGACTCTGCAATTCTGTCTGGGCCTCAGCTCTGGAGAATTCTGCTGGACTACATACACCCTCTGCGCACGGGCTTTGGCTTTACCGCAGTGGCTTTCCTGCTTGGCCTCTAACTGGAGGCCTGGGAAGAGGACAGAGTCCCACAGTCTATTAAGAGATGGCCGCATCTTTGTTTACCAGCCCCCAGTTCCCTCTCCAAGTCTTGGTGTCCAGCTTCCCTTTCCTAAGGAGGGGGGAAATGAGAGAGATGGGAATGGGGGGGGGGTGTGGGATTTACCACTTTCTCGGTTTTTGTGCTGGGGTGAGTTCAACTGGGAAGTTTCATTTGTCCACTTTGAGATCAGCCCCCCTAAAGCCCTAAAGGCCCTCTTCTTCAAAGGCTACCTAAGTGGTCTGCTGGGTCTTGCCCTGGCATCCAGCAAGCTGCGCCCCTCAAGGCTCAGGCATCTTTGCTCTGTTTCCTAACAACTCTTGCGATCCAGCTTTCCTTGCAGGGGAGGGGGTGTGTGGGCGGAGGAGGGCCCTAGTGTGCTCTGGCAATGGGTGACAAGGTCTGGTCTCACAGGCCCCAGACTACCCAGCCCCAGGTATGGTCCGTGGCTAACCAGCGCCTTCTCCTCTGCTCCGCCTCCACCTGGTGGTCATGGAAGGAACTGCTTCCAGGCCCCAATGAAGCAGCCCACAGTTAGGACCTCAGGCTGGGCTGTAGGGCTCACTCCCCCAACTTCTCCACCCTGTCCCACCATCAAAGCAGAAACTCCGACCTTAGAAGTAGAAGAAAGGGAGGGAATGAAGTCTTGAAGCGTGACTAAGGCCAATGAGGTCCCGGAGAGTCACCAAATAACCCCTTGATGCCTCATTTCCGCTATCTTTTAGCTCCCATAGCACACTAACTAGCCCTCGCCCCCAAATCATATAGCATATAGATGACTCTGGTCTTTGACATCATGGAAACCCTGCCCTGGGGCTTGCTCTCCCTCGGCCATCCCTTTCCCACTCTTCCCCACCACCCCATGCCACAATAAAACTGTGGCCAGGGCCGAAGACAGAACTTTTCTCTCTCGAACAGACCACCACATGCCAGTGCACGCTCCTTACCCCGCCCCTCCGCGGCCTGACACGGCCAAACCCGCTTCCGAGCAGGTGAGGGTGCTCAAATGCCTCTCCCTCTCTTGGCCCCAAGAGGCCTGAGCGAGGTGGTGCCAGATGTGCAGAGGATTTGGCGAGGGGCGCCCAGGTAGTGCAGTAGCTTCTGAGGTGCGGTGGGGGTGGGGGGTGGAGCTCCGCTAGGGAGGCTCAGCACTGAGAGGAGCCCGGGACACCCCATGTCCCCTCTAGCCTCACTACGCAAGGCCCCTCCCCTCCCGCAGGGGAGACTGTCAGTGATCAGGGAAGAGAAGAAATAGAAGAAAGAGACATACTGGAGAAGTTGACCATTGCGAACTGCTGACACCTGTCCCCGGTGTATCCCACAGGACACCTACCAAAAGAAAGAAAACCAGAAAGAGAGAGCCAGGATAGCAAGACACAGGCATCGCAACACCCCGGCACAGGCTCCTGCCAATGCCAGCTGGGTTCCTTGCCACCGTTACCATTTGTACTGGCCTTGCCACTCTGCCCCTTACCTGTAGCCCTGAACTTTAAACCCAAGGATTAGGCCAAAAATGAAAAACAAAGCAAAACAAAACGAAACAAAAGAACTAACAAACCAAAATACAAAAAGAAAAGAGAAACAAAACAGTAACAGCCAAAGATCAAAACAACCAACACCCCTGGCCCTACGCCCTACATCGGGGTGGGGGTGGGGAACTGCACCCGGAAGCTTTCTAAGGAGCAGGGACTCGTGTTTGTTTCTTCAAACATACTTTGCTTAGGATCTGGCATGTACAATCGCAAAGGCAGTTTCTCCAAACATCTCTGTCCGAAGAATCCGTTTGGACATCTGGAGAAGGAAAAGGGGAAAAATCACAGAACAAACTGGCATCATCCGCGAGGCTCAGGTTAGAAATCAAAGTGCACAGTGATGAATGAGAAAACCAAGTCAGGCGCGGGGCCACGCGCGTCGCTGGAGGGGCTGGGGTCAGGGCTGGGCGAGGGCTCGGGGTCTTCCACTCGCTCTAACAGATGTGGCTCCGGGAAGGCCGGGCTGGGAGGAGGATGGTCTGGGGAAGCAGGGTGGGGCTCTGGGAACTTATGGCCGAATTGGCTTCCTGCGGCTGGACTTTCCTTCTCACCTGCCTGGGGCCCCGGGAACTGTGGCCACTTGGTGGCAGCCGTTCAGCGGGCTGGGTGCTGGGAGCCTTCTGGAATACTAAGTCTGGGAGCCACTCCTTCCCGGCCCCACCCAAGGGTTCGCTCAGGTCCCTGGGGAGGTTTTCTCAACCACAAAACAGCCCCCAGGAAGCTCAAATGAGAACTCGGGTAAGCTGCTGTGGACCTGGTGCCCAGGACACAGGGGGCCTTGGAGATGTGTCATCTGCTCTCTCAAACAGGGCTCTGTGGCCAAATAAGTGCAGGAAATCCCTTCTCAGCATTCTTTATGGAGCTGCAGCGCACGCTAGCGTGGGAAAGGCTGTGGAAAGTTTTGTAGGAGGAAGCAGCTCAACTTTCTGGTCTGTCCCCAACTTATTTGACCATGGAAGTTGCTGCCGAGGACCCCTCATGGACACGGCTTGCGGGGGGGGGGGGGGGGGGGGGGGGCCTCCTGGCGAAGGGGGTGGGCGGGGGGGGGGGGGGGGAAGGTTGCCCTCTAGCGAAAGGCATGGGCGAGGCACGGGAGGCTGGAGAGGAGCTGGAATTATCAGCCCCCCCAAAGCTGGCTTGCCAAGCCAGGCGCCGGGATCTGGCCACAGATGGCAACAGCCACAGGGGGGCCAGTGCTGCTTCAGTGGGTCCTTGACCTGCTCCCCATGAGGAGAGCTGGCTGCAGGGACACCTGTCCTTTCCCACGACCTGTTCCTGCCCTTCTGCCTGGCTCTGCGGGGGGCGCTCACCCCACCCCACACCCCCGCTGCTGCCTCTCTTGCTGCCAAGCACCGCCCTTTCCAGTTCCCTGCCCTTGTCCCTACTCACTAGGTACACTGGCTTCTGCTCTCTGGCGGCCACACCCTCTCTTTCCACAGGGGAGCTTACTGACAGGGCCGGGCTGACACCCTGTCTCCCTACACAGAGACGGACCTCTGTTGCCTCAGCCTTTTTCTTCCCTTGGCAACTACGCAATAATCCTCGCCAGTGGCCCCGGGTACGAGGCCACTGTTCAGGGTCAGTGGGTGAGCGTCCTCAGGAGAAGCCTGCCTGCTGCCGGTAGCCCCTGGAGCTGCAACTTGTGAGCGTGGGCTGTCAGAGTCATGAAGACCCTGTGCCCGTCTAGACTGGCAGAAGGGGGGGGTGACTGGGGGGCTGACCGTGGGAGTGTCTCTGGGCCTCGATGGCACCGCCTTGCAGGGATCATGTGTGTACAGGCATGCCTGGAAAACGAGTAGTGGTGGGGGCTGGGCAGTGTCTGGAGAAAGGGTGCTTGGTATGAAGCTGAGGGGCACTCGTGGGACTCGAGGGAGGTCCGAGCAGCTCCGGAGGGTGGCCTGGAGGAGGAAGCCACCACTTGTCAGCCCATCCTACTCTGATCCCTGCCCCTGGTGCCCAGTCATGCCAGCTCAGGAAAATGGAGGCAGTGGCTAAGGCTCCCCAAACTGAGGCGGTCAGGCTCCACCCTTTTGTCTCAGCTCTAGGAAACTGATGTCCACTTGGGGTGGGGACTAGAGAGAGAGAAGTGATTATTCAAGCAGCAGCTTCTTTGAGGGTGGAGGACACAGACCTAGGAAGTTGCCAAAACAAGTCTTAGAATCCACAAAGGAAGCAGAAAAAGGCACGTTTGACTGCATCCCACGTGAGATCAGTCTGGCTCTCGGAGACGGGAAAACCTGCGTGTGTCTGTGTGCGCGCGTGTGCACACACATGTTGTGAGGGGGGAGTACGGGGACAAGAGGGGCTAAAGGGGAAGCTGACTCCCGCTGCCGGAGAGCAGGGCTGCTGTGGCAACGGCTCTGGGAAACCACCGCTCCGAGCCAAAGGCGTCCCTGCGCGCCGGTGGCACCCCGCATGGTGGCCACTGAGTTGCGCAAGCCCACGTGGCGCGTGGCTCCGTGAACACCACGAAGATGCCTCCTGGACTTGCGCAACGGGGTCCTAACCTGCCTGCCCAGAAAGTGTGTCCCCCACTGGCTGAACAGAACAAGAGACTGGGGGCTGGGCCCAGTGCAGGGGAGGGGAGGACTGACGCCCAAGCTGGCCTTGCACTGGCTCTGCGGAGGCTCCTGCTCACGCCTGTCTTCGCCTTACTCCTAATGGTCGAGGATGAGCCGCGGCCGGGAGGCTGGGGCTTCCCTGGCAAAGGCTCCAAGGGGGGCTGCACCCGGGGCCAGGAAGCAGGGCACATCAGCCTGCCGGCCCGGAGGGGGTTCTAACTTGGTGTGGGGGACTGGCTGGCGGGGGAGTGGGGGTCCCACTCAAATAAGGATTGCCCCCTGCCTTTCAGGGGCACAGAGGACAGGTCAGAAGGAACAGCAGGTGCAGCCTGCCCAGCCCTTCCCTTGCGTCATCCGCCAAGACTATAGGAAGGTCTGTGCCCAGGGCTGGAGAAGAGCAGGAGTGAGAGCGAGGCAGAGAGGATAGCCCACGGGCAGTGTTGGGCACAGAGAGTGGGGATCTGCCTCTCCGTGTCACCACCCCACCTCCCAGGCCTCAGTTTCTCCTTTTGGTAGCCTGGGGATAATGCCATGTGTGCTGCCCTCACCCGGGAAGGGATGGAGGATGGAGGTATGCCCTGGGCACCGGGCGGAGCGAGGTCTCTGGCCTCTGGGGGCGTGGACGTGTGGTGAAGATGAGCAGGCAGATGGGATGGCATGGGGGGGTCACCTGAACATGAGGGGGGTGTGGAGATGAGCTGATGGGAAAGGGAGGCATGCCGCTGGTATGTGCACAGGGCTGGAAAGAGACTTGTTCTGTCATCATCCCCTGAACCAGTCCCGAGAGTCACGCACCAACCGTGCTCTACAAAAACACGGAGAGAGGAGGAGAAAGCAGCAAGAGGAAGTGCAGGGGCCCCTGTCTGGCCCAGACAGGAGACAGTCACCTGGATTTGGCCCCCCATTTGCAAATCCCCCTAAGTTTTCTTTTTTGAAACAAAATTCAGTATCAGAGACACTTTCGTTTGGCTCTGAATTCCAGAAAAACAGGAGGGACAGAGTGTGCCTGCTCCCCACATTCACGCAGGGCTCTGGACCAATACACAACAGCAAGTGTCAGAAAACCAGGAAGGAAAACGGATTTTTATAGAAACTGGAATGAAACTGACCAGTCTAGTTTCATTATCCAAGCTAAGCGGAAATGCAAAAAAATTAAAAAAAAAAGTAAACAAACAGCACAAATGGTAAGACGTGAGTTCCGGTCCCTAAGTTCTTTCCTTTTCATTTCGTTCAGGTGTTAGCAGGAACCCCAAGAGGCCTGCCCCCCTTCCCTCCCGGCTCGCCCACCCCCAGCATGGCCTCTGGGTTCTGCCCTGCCCCCCCCCGCCCCCTGCCCTTCTCCAGCACAGCTCTGAGGACTGCCCTGCTGACGCTGTCACCGCCAGGACACCCCTCTCTCCTCTGAGTGTTCAGGGATCCAGGGAATGGGGTTCAGGGGCCCTTGCTGAGGGTGACCCTGGTGGGCTGGGATGGGGAAGTGTTCCAAGGTTCCAAGTTCAAGTTCTAAGCAGTGAAGCCCGGTTGCCCTGGTAAGGAGGGGACACAGGTCATCATCTTCACAATGGCTCAGTCTCCTACCCTCTGCTCCTCTTAAATTCAGCTGGGGAGGGAGACACCTGGAGGTCCCTAGGGGTACAGCCTGGCTGGCAGAGCCCTCTGGGGGACCTACCGAACCCCACACTCCCTTTCTCACATTAAACTCTACACTGGAGCACTGGTGGTCCTCTGGACCCCTTCAACCCTGGCACCTGTTCTTGGTGGCTGAACCTTCCTTGCTGGGAGCCCAGGCTGGCCTCTTTGGCAATGCTGGATCCCTTTTAAGGTTCACAGGCCAAAGGGGCTAGAGAAGAGGAGAGTCCTGGGGTGCGTGTCTCTGTGTGTGTATGTATGTCTGTTTTCAGAGGATAAGAAGAGGGGGCTGCAGGGCTGGCTATCTCCGTGAGATATTCCAGAACCTGGTGAGCTCCCAGGAGGCCTAGTCCAAAGAGCTCTGAGCATTTTCAATGGCAGGATGTCTCCCAGGTGTGCAGCGCTGAAGTGGCAGCCTCCGGGGCAGAAGGAGGGGATGGTGAGGGACTGAGTCTGGGCTGAGAAGCTCCTAGGGGGCCCGCTGTTCTGTTGGGACTGTCCCCTAAGATTCAGGTTGGGAGAGGTCGGGAGGGCGATGGCAGCAGGTGAAGGGTGGATCAGGGAGGAAACCAGCAGAAGGGGCTAGCTGGGGGAGGGGATGGGCACGAGGGACCCTCGTCATCACGAGATGCGGTACAGGGCTCTTCGGTCAAGGCTGAGTAGGGAGGGAGACAAATCCCTGGAGTTTCTCCAGAGGCAGGAGAGCCCGGGAGAGCTGAATGTGACCTTGTCTGTGGTGAGGGCAGATGACCCTGAATCTCCATCACTACTCTGGTAGCTTCTTCCCAGATGCCATGGGAATGGGGCGACTTTGGCACCTTGTCAAGCTCTAGGCTTAGGCTGCTTAAAAACCTGAAGATGTCAACTAGGCCCCCCTCCCGTACTTCCTCAGGGTCTGGACAGAATCTGTGCTGCCCTCACCAAGTGCCTCCAACCCTTATTCACCCACCAGAAAGTCGTGGAGGGGGTCCTGGGGTTGTACAGAGGTCTGGGCTCAAACACGTCCTTCCTCTGGACGGCCTCCCCGGCTGCTGCTGAGGGGCGCTATGGTGCTAAACTCACAGGAGGGCTTGCTGGAGAGCAGTCTCTGGCCCTCGGGAGGCTCTAAAGCCTGGCTTGCATTTCTCTTCAACCCTGGCCTCCCCAGTTGGGCCCCACCAGGTGGTGCCCTTCCTCTCCCCAGAGACAGCGCTGGGGCCGAGGTAGTGCAGGCAGCACAGGGTCCTGCTAACCAGGGAGGGAGACCAGGCCCTGAGGTGAGCCAGGGAAAGAGCCTTATTTCTCCCCTAGCACAAGGGCCCCTTGGCTGGAACCCGAGCCCTGCCTCAGTCTGCCATGCTCCCACTGCAGCAGACACACCTGAGAAAGTGTTCATCAGAACAAAGTTGGGAGAGTAGTTGCGAGGAGGGGGAAGGGGCGGGGGTGCGGGGGGGGTTAGTGCCCAATGCCTAAGGCCTATATAGACTGGCATCCCCATTTCCCTAAAAGGTGCTAGTGAAAGGGTGGCCCTCAGGAGAGGGGGTGGGCCGGGGCCTAGAAAACTGGGACCAGAGGTCCCTGAGCCCTTTAAGAGCTTATATCTCCCTGTACTCCAGGAAAGGCCTAGGGAATGGGGTAAAGTTCTCTGTCTACACCCTTTGGGGACCCCTTATCTGTGGCTTGATGCCCACTTCTAGAGCCCTCCACTTCCGACCCACCTCTCTCACCCTACTCTGGCCCCCACGCACGCCCCCACTGCCCACTTACTTGCAGGAGAGCTGGTTGATGCCCTCGATGTAGTAGCAGACACCTCCATTGACACAGTAGGACTTGGCAGTCTCGTTGCACTTCCGGGCGTGCCCCGACCAGGATGATAGGGTGGTGCTCACTGGAGGTAGGAGAGACATGTGCCAGTGAGCTGCTGAGATACTCTGAGCCTCAGCAGTCACTTCCTTCATGGCCTATTTCCAAGCTAAAGGATCAGAGGCTGAGGGATGGCTGGGGAGCGAGCCTGGTGATCCTCCCAGTTGTCAACTGCCCAAGGGGAGGCTGCGGCAAGCTCCCCCATCTGCCCAGCACCATCCTGCCCCCGACTTGGCCAACCTTGGAAGGCCAGGAGGCCTTTCTTTCTTCGGAGCGGGTGAGTGGGAGCAGAAACTCTTCCTCTTCTGGAATAAGGGCCCTTGTCTGCCCCCCTGGGGGCTCCATTACAGGTAGGTGAGACATGAGTGTCTGTGTGGGGACCGTCACACGGCTGCAGGGAGAAAACACTGCCTGGGCTATCCTGTGGGCCAGAGGGCTGGGGGGAGCTGGGCTTTGAGGGGAATGGCACCTTTCGGACACTGTCACCTTCTAAGGTTGAGGGAGAGTGTGGGGTGAGCGCTGCTCCCATCTTCCCCCTTGGCCCCAGAGCTGGGCCGGCTCCAAGTGTCCTGGGAATGCCAAAAAGGTCTTCTTCACACCTGTCCTCCAGGTGACCCCTTGCTCTGCCATCTAGTCAGCTCCTGCCTCCGTGGGGAATCTCCAGCCCTGGACAGCCCTGGCTATATAAATCTGGGGTTTCAGGCCACTGGAAAGAAGATGGGATTGGGTGCAGTTGGGGTATGGACACTTGGCAAGGGTAAGGTCTGGATTTTGGGCTAAGCCTCAGACTGCACACCTGATGGACTGGACCCATTGTTATAAATGGAAATAATGGAAGCTCTGCTCCCCCATTAGGGGCTGGCATCCAGAAAGCTGGTTTCAAGTGAACACTCTAGCCCCAAAAGCCAGTTTCCATCTGTAAGCCAACCTCCAACTTTGCGTTTCCACATCAGGCAGCGGGACACGGGGTGCTGCTCCCCTTCTCAGACTCTGGGGTTCCAAGGGCCCCTTGCTCCCACCAGCAGAAGCCCCCTGACTGAGTGGGCCCTGGCCTATACTGCATGGTTCCATCTCCTCGGGGTATTGAGTCTCTACCACCCCCACAGTAATGGGGAGAGAGGAGGAGGGCAGGCACTTGGCGCCTGCAGTGTTTAGACGTGTGTGGAGACAGATGGAGCGTGGGGACGGGGAGTGTATACACAGCCTGGCCTCTGTATATGTCTGAGGGGCTCGCTGATAAAACCCAGCGGGCAGGGCCAGCTCCTGCCTTCCCGTCCACACCATTCCTGCACTGCCACCCTCGAGCCCCGCCCTGTCAGGTCTCCTGCTCATGCTCTGTCCCAAGTCCAGCTAGGACCCACAAGCGGGCCGGGATGGGAGGCCTCATGCTGCTTTCTGCTCTACTTTGGGGGTCAGGAAGACCCAGGAATTTAGAAAGGGACAGATGAGAGAAGTAGTGGAGGAGACCCTGTCTGCAAGTTGTGAAATCCCGCTGCTGGGAGGACCCTCAAGCGGTCCTGTGTCTGGGTCACACCACCACGGGGGAGCCAGCAGAGAGCGGGGCTGTGCCGTCCAATCACAGAATGTTGTGACCCAGGGCTGGACCCGGCCCCTGGCCACACCACCTGAACGCCTGGGTGAGCATTTTCGCCAGCCACTCAGTCCCTCGTGGGAGGACATGTCAGCACCAAGATGCAAACACGAGGTGGACCACGATCACAGAAAGCTTGGGCCAGCCTGGTCCCCTCTGTAGTCACGGTGCAGGGACCGCAGGGCACACTTGGGCCTGTCTCCACACGCGTCCATGCTCACCAAGGCTCAGGAAGGCAGAGGACGGCTCCCGAGGGAAGATGGGGCTCCGCTGACCTGACAGAGCTGTGGCCAGAGAATGGCAGAAAGGGAGCCCAATGGGGGCAGCCAGGGGCAGCGAGTGTGGGGAGAGGGAAGCCGGGCCTGCTACCTCAGAAAGAAGTACCTCCAAGCCGCCCCTGGTGAAGGCAGGGCCTCTCGCATCACTGCAGTCCAAGCCTGCTGGAGGGGACGCCTCACACCAGGAAGATTCCAGATGGAAGACGTGGGCAGGCACTCTCAGCACAAGGGCCCCAAGGCAACACGTCTACATTCCCTTGTCAAAGGATCTGCACCTTTTCACTGTTCTCCAGAGTTTGGGAACGAAGGTGACAAATGACCACTGAGTTGGAGAGTCGGCTGCTCCCTTGACCCTGGGGTGACCCTCACCCTGAACTCAGTTCCCATGTGTCTGCTCTGGAGTCACTCCCTCAGGCCTCAAGCCTCAACCATCGCAGTGAGCAGCCTGCACAGACCAAAGGCCTGGAGGGCCTCTCTGACTGCTCGTCCTTTGTTCCCCGCAGCTACCTATCAGAGAACTACCTCTGCCTCCCCGCAGGGCTTCTGCACCGCCCCCCCCCCAAGCTGCCCCCCAGCACAAGCTGCCAGGGCCTCTTTCCCTGGATGACCACAGCAGCTGCCTCGCTGGCCTTCCTGCCCCAACTCTTCCCTTCCTCTTGTGTCACTACTTCACAGTTGCCAGTGGGGTCTTTATGTAAATTGGATCAACTGCTTCCCAGGTCAGGACCCTCCAGCGAATTCCTTTTGCTCACGAGTCAACCCCAATTCCTGCGTAGGTCTAGGACCACACCACCTCCTGCACCAGGTCCCACCCTTCCAGTTTAATATATTTGGGCCACACCAGCCTAGCTCAGCTCCCCTAACAAGTCAGGAGCCTCCGTTAGAGGGTCTCAGAAGTGCTTCTCAGCTCCCTCCTTACTCCTCCTCTTAGTTTTTTCTATGCTCTTGTCTTTGTATTACTTTATACCAACACAATTAGATGCTCAAGGGAGAAGCCAACTCTCCAACTTAGCAGTTTAAAGCTCAGCTCATCCACCGCAATGCGGATTCTTGGGCAGGGGCTCAGTCCGTCTCACTCACCAGTGAACCCCAGGGTCAGCATAGTGCTGACATTTAACAGCAGCTTGACAAAATTTACAAGTATTTGTAATGAGCAAATGAGTATCTGATTCTTTAGAGGAATGAGGCTTTTGCTACCATCGCTGGAGCGGACAAGGATGCCTGGACCGGCATCCTTGGCTGCTGCTGCTTCTTTCTGTGGACTGATGCACTGTTGCTATGAAATGCAAATATTCCTGGGAGGTGGACAAGAAGATGAAAACAAAAACCACAGCGAGATGCCAACAGGATGACTAGAATAAAAAAGATGGATAATAACAAGTGATGATTATTACCTGCTGCGAGTGAGAATGGAAAATGGTGCAACCACTTTGGACACAGTTTAGTTGTTCTTCAAGAAATTAAACAGTTACCATATCCCTCCATGTTAACAGAGCAACCTCACTCAGATACAGACTCAAGCGAACTGAAAACACGTGCCCACCAAAGCTGGTACATAAATGTTCACATCAGCATCAATCCAGACAGCTAAGATGTGGAGACCACAGGAATGACCCAACCTTCCAAACTGAGGGGTGGAAAAGTACAGTGTGGCCCAGCCATACAATAGAATATGATGCAGCCATGAAAAAGGAACAAAGAACTGACACATGTAAACTATGGATGAGCCTGGAGAGCATATGTGAAGCAAAAGTCAGTCACGAAAGGCCACATATAACATGATTCTATTCATGAAATACCCAGAACAGGAAAATCCTTAGAGGTAGAAAGTAGATAAGCAGTTGCCAGGGTGTGGCAGAAATGCGGAATGACTGCTAGTGGGGATGGAGTTTTTTTCTGAGGTGATGAAAATGTTTTAGAATCCATGGTAGTAAAAATTTTGTATTTTTAGAAAGGGTGAATTTCATGGTAAGTTGTATTCAAAAACATTGGGAAGGTAAATCCAAGAAGCCTGTATCAGCCATTGGTGTCTCAGTGTGAGTGTGATTATTGGGTCCCTGAGGGGTGAGCATGGACCGGGAGTTTGAGCACATATGGAAGACCTTCTCCCTGCTGCCAGGGACGAGATAGCTGCTGATATTGCCAAGGCCCGCTCAAGTGTCTCTTAATCCCTCTATTTGTCCACATAACTGGTGTCCCTATCCTTCCTCCTCAGGTAGACACTCTGAGTTCTGGTTCTTGACGTCTTGCCGCTTGAGGGACTTGATCGAGCTCAAGACAGTAGCTCCCCCAAATCCAGAACAGGGTGTTGCTGAGTAAGAGAGCAGATGTGTGTGCCCAGCTAAAGAGGCAAGCTGCTTAGGCCCCCAGGTAAGGGGCAGGCCATGAAGGCCTTCCCAGGGCTCCCATGCTTCTGCGACAGCCTAGGCCAAGCCTGTCTGCCCTCTAGGGTGAAGCTAGGCCCGGTCCCACGTCCTGACACTGGCACAGTCCCTTGGGACATTCCTAAGGTCTCCTTCACCTGGAGATGAGGTAGCTGGTTGTTTAACTCAGAAGTAGGTTGGACCAAGCTGATTTACTTCTGTTAAAAGCAACCAGACTTCTTGCAACCGCCTCCTCCCAGCCAACTCAGGAGAGCAGGAAGCCTCTTTGAGCTGGCAGAGCTGCGAATTCCAGGAAGGGCCCCCTCTGACTTGGGGATGGACCCATAGGTCCACTGGGATAGTGCAGTGGTTGGGCAAGGCCGTAGTGGTGACCCCAGGCAACCTGCTGCCCCTTACAGCCCCCCTCCTGCCCCCCACCATGGCCTCTTTGGCTGCCCCACCCCTGGAGCTCTGGCTTCCCTAGGGCCCGGGCGGGCCAAGACAACCCACCTTGTGATGAGTCAGAGGGGGGCAGGCACAGCTGGCCGCTACCCGCCCTCCGCCCCCTCCCCAGGGTGCGGTTGCTGCAGGTCTTATGGGTTCCAGGGATAAACAAGGGGCCTGGGCATCTACCTGGGCAAATTCCCCTGGTGGGGTTTTCTGGTCCCTGGCAGCAATCCTGTTCACCCCTCCACACCAAGGGTAGGCGCTTGCTTGCCATGGACTGAAACAGGGCATCAGAAGAAGTGTGCGGAGTATCTGTGTGTGTGTGTGTGTGCGTGTGTGATATGTCAATATGCCTGTGTGTGTGGTAGTGATGGTGGTGGCGGTGGCTGGGGCACAGAATGTCAGCCTTAACATCAAACCCAGAATCTGAGGGGCCTGGGGTTTGGAGATCATCTAGCTGAGTGCCAGCTGGGAAAGCCACAGACAAAGCCAGAGCAGTCTCTTGCACAGGGCTGCACGGTATAACTGGGACAAGACCAAAGCACTCGACTCTTTCCACCACTCTGCTGTGCCACCCTCCTGCCAGGCTGGAGGGCCAAGGGGCCAGGAGCGCTGCTGGGGAACCCTCAGGGTCCAGCCTGAAGCACCACTGTCCAATTTCCTACCTAATGAGAAATGGGGGGGTGGGTGTAGGGGCGGGCTGAGATCCTTGTGTGGGGCGGTGCTTTACAACTACCCCTAGCCTTGGGCCCTAGGAGAGAGGGCACCATTGTGGTTTCCTGCCTGCAACTTCCTCCCTCCCTTTGCTGGCAACACCCCTAGGGAAGCTTCCCTGTGCGGTTCTGATAGCGCCATCACTCGCTGTTCTCAAACCTTTAGTATGCCCTCTGCACACACGCAGACCCGGTGAGGGTGGCACCCACTCCCCTGGGCACAGGGGCTGGGCTGAGCAGGGTACAGCACGTTCACAGGGTCAGAGACACCTCTCGGGCCTTCTATGACCAGTTGCAGTGACAGCTCTGTCTTTTCCCTGGTGAGGGGGTGTGGGGGTTGAATAAACCCGGAGCTGTCTGAGGCCATGATGGCCACTTCTTCCCCATTTAGTCTCCAAATCTGGGAGTGGGACCCCGCACAATGGGACAGAGCGTCCTGACCCACACTGAGTTCTTGGACACTGTCATGTCAAGGACCAGTTCTATCTCTGGACTTCTCAATTTAGAAATCAATAAACTCCTCAAGGTAGTTCTAAGTTGGGTTCTAACTGAGGTAACCAAACCAGCTCTCACCAAGGAAGTCTTGAGTAACACAACAGGAAACCTCAACTCCAATGTGGATCTGAGAATGACTGTCCACTGTGGCTGGAGGTGGGGGGTGGTGCTGCAGACCCGGCTTGGTTCATGGCACGGACTGGGGAGGGTGGGCCCAGGTAGTCTGACTGCAACCACACCCAGGCTGGGGTACGAGGGAGTCAGAAAAAGCCTCGGAGCAGGAGCCTTTCAGATGCTATTGACCAGGTACCTCTGTGAGACAGGCACTGTGTTAGACCCTGAGGCCAACGTGAACAGCCTAGACAAAGGCCCGGACTACCAGCATTCTGTATATTGTTTAGCTCCCTCATTAACTAGCTGTTAGAGCTTAGGCAGAATATTTAGCCTCTCTGAGCATCAATCTCAATTTATAAAATACACCGGGGGCTTCAATGAGGGCTCAAGAGATGATACGGAACCCGGCACAGAGCATGCTGAGCAGACAGTAGTTACTAGTGTAATGCCCAGGGAGAAGGCGCCCTCCTCCCCGCCCTCCTGCTCCCGGGCACACTATTCACCCAGGGAGCTTGCCCTCATGGAACAGCTCACTAAGGGGATGGGAGCTGAAGAAAGAAAGCCCAAGGTTGGAGTTGCTGAGTTCATGGGACTACTCAGCCCACAGTGCGCACCATGAGCCGGAGCTAGGAGTGGCACTTGGAGGGTGCAGCAGCCAGTGCCCGTGCCGCCGGAGGAAGACGGAAAGCGTGACCTAGGGGTGAGGTGGGAAGGGTGAGCTCCATGAACTGGAGATGCTGGGCTGGCCTGGGGGAGACGGGCTTTAGTGGGAGGAAGTCCCTGCTTAGAGGCCCTAGGGTGGGGGTGTGGCAGGGAGACAGTGTAGTAGGGGGCCGTAGTAGGGGGCCGTGCTCTGGCAGGGGAGCAGTCATACGACCTGGGCCACAGCTGCCCCGGAGGAGGGGTTGAAACGGAAGGAACGGGTGTGACAGAGATACAGAAAGAAGACTAACAAGACCACTCAGAACTATTAGCTACAATGTTCAGGGACACAGAGGAGCCTGAGAGGCTGGGAGAGTGGGGGGGCTCCCTCAAAAGAGGGGACATACATGGTTTGAGCAGAGATGTTTGGAGAGGTCTCAGAGCAGCGAGTGTTCCAGATTCTCTAGGTGAGGCTGGGTTTAGGGTGTACTGGGCTAGCTGCTGGAAATAAGGGCAGGTGGGGACAAACAGGACTAGAGGCTAGACAGGGGAACGAATGGAAGCAAACCCCAGTCACCAGCTAGTAGAATAGTATGAGTCTATGGGGGCCAGAGAAGGCAAGAGCTTGCAGGGATCTGGAGATCTTGGCTAGAGCGGAGGGGCAGTAGTGAGGATAGGCAGCCTTGGTGACCTCCTTGTCTTGGGAGACCACCAGGGTCTGAGAGGACAGTGGGCAGGCCGGTGGCCTCCATACTGTCGCCGAGCGTCTCTGAGGGGCGTCAAGGCCCTGATCCCGCAGGTCTCTAAGGGACAGAGACCTGATCTGTGGGGAAGGGGCCAGCCAGCCCTGAACAGGGGCTGCTTCCAGGGGCGCCCAGACTCCATGTCCCCCTGGAGATGGCCGTCTGCTCCGTGGCACCCAGTAAAGCAACCGGCAGCAGGCAGTTGGCTCACACGCCCCGGGCCTGCCTCTCCCTGAGCCCCGCTCCTGGCAGCCCAGCCTCTCATAATTGCCTTCTAAAAATATCCTCCCCTACCCCCACCTCTTGATTTCAAAATATTTAGTTTTCAGGGTATTTAAAATGAGAGCTGGCGGCTCTTCCAGGCCCAGATAACAAAGCTAAACATTTATGCTTTGACTGCATTTCTCCGAATGGGTCCAGATCTCAGGGCTTGATATGGCAGCAGCAGGAGGGACAGGAGTCAAGTGCAAGACGGTTCATGTGCCGGCCTCCCCCCACTGGGGGGCAAGCGGTCCGCCCCGCTGAGCCCGCAGAGGGCCCCTCCCGGGCTGGGGACCACCTACCACTGCTGACGTGGAGCCGGCCACGGACCGAGTCCTTGCCCAGGATGTTCTCGGCCTCACAGACGTACTCCCCAGCGTCCTCCACCTTCACCTTGTTGAACTGCAGTCGTGAGTTCTTTCTGGGTAGGGAGGGAAGAGAAGGGGAGAGGCGTGAGCCAGACCCGGGCTGGCAGTGGTTCCCCAGCAGTCCCCTGGCGGTCACCTCTCTCCGCAGAGCCACAGTGGCCTTGCGGGGCACATGGGGTACAGGCTCCCTTGGATCAGCCACCTCTGGTGTCCAGCTGGAATGCCAAGTCCCTGGAGCAGGAGGAAGACTGGGCACTCAGGAGCGCCCGGGAGCACCTGCACATCTGAGAATCCTCCAGCCTTCCCGGGGCAGAGGAAAGGTCCTTTAGGAAGTCATATAAAAACGCCCCTCCTGCTTTTCCAGCTCCGTGTCCTGCTCATCCCCACTGGGGCAGTCACTGGCCTGCCAGCCACCTTGGCCTTCCCTGAGAGGTAGTGGCCTGTCTCTCCAGATGTAGAGGCCTGTTCCCAGGAACCTGGGAGAGCTACCCTTCTAGCAGTTTCCCATGGTAGCTGTGCCCCGCTCCCCAGCCCCCACAGGGCGCTCCTGCCTTCCCAGCAGCCCTGACATTATGGGACTCTGTGGCCTCTCCTTTTCTCCCTTTTTGACTCAACACAGAAGTGTGCCTTCTGTGTGCTGGGAGCTTGGACACCTCGGGAACAAAAAGATCCTATTCCTCTGGCCTGACTTGACCCTCAGGAATAATCTGGAGAGGAACGGGGCAGTACAAACGGTAAACTCGGTGCTACAGGGGTTTCCTAGCCAGTGGGGGGGCACATGGCAGGGCCCACTATGGACGGCTTTGTACCCAGTCCCCGCAGATCAGGAGTTTCAGGGTCAGGCTTGGGCAGGGATTCCAGCATGGTGGTGCCTCAAGGGCACCAGGCTCTGGCTCCCTCTTCGTTCAGGAAACCCTGCCAAACCTTCCTTCCCAGTGGTGCCTGAGCCTACCCTAGGGGGCCTGGGCACTGCAGGGCCTGGGGGTACTTTCTAGCCCTCCCTCCGATGCTTCTGGGGCTGTCTGCGCTAAGGGTAAGCCCGGACCTCTGGTCCCCAGGGGTCAAGAAGGAATAGCAATAAAGTTTCCTTACCTACGTAACCATTTCTTTTTAGTCCCCAATTCAAAAACCAGGTTCCCAGAATATGTGTGGTGGGTCGGAGGGCTGACGGACAGGGTTCGGGGTAGCACAGCTGCCCCAGCCCTGAGCCAGTGATGTGAAACAGAGCCACGAAGCCCCATGGGAGCAGAGGGCAGGGGAGAGCAGAGCGGCCATGCGGGCCTGGGGAGACAGCAGGCAGCACCTCCCTACCTGGGCTGTGCTGGCAGACCCATCTCCCGGGCTCCACTTCTGCCTGAGGGGGCTCTTCCCAGACTTCCTTACTCCAGTGTCTCCCCAACAAAGCTCCGGGGGCCAGGCCAGTCCAAGGGCCCTGTTGCTGTGGCGCTGTCCTTGCGTATACTGCAGTGGCAGCTGCCGGCCTCCCTCCCCCTACCTCGCCCACTTCAAGACGGTCTCCTCGGTCTGGTCTCTGCCTACAGCCCTCTCTGTCAGTTCAAGTTTGCTGCCTTCATCAGACAGAGCCCCGGAGGCCCCTCCGGCTGAGACGGCTTCTCCTTCCTGGCTCCAGCCTAATTAGATGCCACAAAGCCCAGCTGCCCCAAGACCAGACCTCTCTCACTTTCCAGCCACCAGCTCCTCCCTGACACCAGATGAGCAGAGGAGGGGTCATATGAAGGGGTTAAGATCAGGGGTAAAAAAAGGGAAAACATACAGGGGATACAGAGCCAGAGCTTCCTTGATCCACAGCTGAATTCAAAAGTGTTTGCCCTACCCGACATAGCAGCACCAGGCAGAGCTGGGTGCATAGAATGTCTGAGGAGATAAAAACCAGAACAGGACCGCGGGGCTCCTCACTGGAAGGCGAGACCTGTGGAAAGGAGGCTCAGGGCCACACCTCTCCTTTGAGGAACCCGGAGAGGCAAGGAGACAGAAAACAAGGCCTCGGCTTGCTGGCATCTTGGTTTACCAGCTGTGTGCCGGTCTTGCCAGCTCCAGAGAGGTAGGCCCTAGACTTGAAAACGAGGCTTGGGGGCCCCAGCAGATGGTGGGACACTCTGGGTTGCTTAGGCTCGGAAGGCATGGCAGCCACCACAAAGATTTCTCCTCACTCTAGATGCAGTCGAATGCCCCAAGGGGTGAGGACTCTTGCCTGTCTTCCCAGCAGGCCCAATGTGGTCCTGACCTAGGCCTGCCCCTGCCACGGACTCCCCTCCTTCCTTCCTCAGCCAGTTTTCTGCTGGCAGGGATGGGATCTGGGCGGCCGTGTCCTCCACCCGTCCGCACATTTTCCTCAGCGCCTTCCTCTTGCTGCCTGCCTGAGGGGCCTGTTCCAGCCTGTCCCTCATAAATAAGGGAACACATGGTTCTGCAGGGGAGGGCCCCATGCCCAGGGCTTGGGGGGCAGCTTTCTCCTGGCACATAAAGGCTTCAGTGAGGAACCTCAGTGCAGTGGGCCAGAGACAGACGGCGCTGCTGGGAAGGGGGGTCTCGGCAGGCAAGACAGCATGGTCTGGGAAGACAGGGTGCAGAGGGGTCCAGAGAATGGTCAGTAGGAAAGAGAAGATTCTGCCAGACAGGAGGCTCCTGCCTGCTCCATGGCAGGGAAGGCCTCGATGCAGGGGTGTGTGTGCGCAATGGCCCCTCTCCCTGAAGGGTTCCCAGGGAATCAGTTCATGGGGAATCACAAGTTCTCTGTCACGGCCCACTCTTCCAGCTCATCAGCTCACTGCCAACAGCAGGATAAGAAGGCAAGGAGGTTTCAGAAATGCTGCTGCTGGGACAAGGCCCTGACAGGCAGCAGGTGAGGGGGACTAGGAGGAGGAGGAGAAGACCCTGCTCCTGGACTGGGTGACCATCTGTCAGAGGAGTCTAACCAGGACAGCAGTTGGCTCAAAGTCAAGGTCAACCCAAAAGGTATCCGCCTGGTCCCAGGAGCACCCACTGCTCAGGGGAGGAGAGTGGGGCTGCGGGGTCCCATAACTCAACACCAGGCAGGGAGCCCCTGTGCCAGCCCATGGGGGAGAAGGGACTGCATGGGGGCACGCAGCCAGCGAGGCTTTCCGTGCTAGGAGGAAGGTCCCTGACACTGTGGTGAAGTTGTCTAAGACACCAGGAGGAGGGACCAGAGCTGCCTTGAGGGCTCTGGGGGCGCTCCACGGGATGCAGCACTGAAGCTGGCCTTTGGGGGACTTGGCCACCGACAAGGGGTGTTGGGGGTGCCGCCGCACAGGGGAAAGCCTGAGCCCAAGTCCATGGTCATGAAAGACTAAGAAACAGAAGTGAGGGAACAATGGGGTTGTGACTTACAACAGGGAAGAGGAGAGTGGGAAGGGCCCCAAGGCCTGGGCTGAACCTGGTATGGCACTCTCCAGTGCTGGCAAGGAACTGAGTGAGTGAAGGACTACGTGTCCGCGCCGTAAAGATCGCCCTGTCAGGGTCATGGGGGCGAGTGACTCTGAGAACCTCTAGGGTGGTAGTCAAAACCAGGTGTATGAGGTCTATTTTTTTTTTTGTTGTTGTTTTTTCTGAAGAAAGGGCTGAAACTTTTATTGACTTCTACACTAGGGTCCAGACCTGAAACTCTGAAGGGAATGACCGCACCTGTCCCCTTCGCTGGCAGAGCTCTAGCCTCTGGCAGATGCCTGAGGCTCAACACGTGCATGTCAGATACAGTCACACGCACAGAGGTCTGTGGCCCAGAAAAGGTGGGGGGTGGTCAAGAGTGGGGCAGCCGAGGCTAATGGCAGGGAGAGTGAATATAGTAGCAGCAGGGCAGGGAGAGGTGCCTTATGCAGAGTCGGTGACCCCTGGAGGGGCTGGCATGGGGCAGACGCTGAGCATCGGGCCTCTGTTTCTGCCACAGCCGAGAGGGGAGCCCCCTGGTGGGGGTGCACAAGGCAGCGCCTGGAGGGCTGGTGGAGGCTCGGTTGGGGGCGTCCTGCCTCAGAGATGCCTGTGGGGTATATCTCAGGGTTGCATCTGGTGGTTAGCTGGCAGGGGGGTCTGGAACTTGGGCTAAAAATAAAGCCACTGACTAGCCATAGAGATTTGCTGGTCGTCAGAAATGAGCGGCTAAGACCACTTGCAGGTAGAGAAGGAAGAGAAAAGTGAAGCCCACAAGACAGGGACATTCTGGCATAAATGGTGACTGGGAGAGTGGCTGAGGCATGGGAGGCACCGCAGGGGGTCATGGCCGAGGGAGCGGTGGCAGCCATGCCATCGGCCGAGACCTGGAGGCCAGGAGCCTGGGGTTGCAGGGTCTCTCAGGAGCCACACCACAGAGCACAGGGGTGGATTTACAGGGCAGAGGCCAGCAGCGCAAAGACAGGGGGAGGATGAGAGGATGGAATCCCTGGGCTTGACACCGATGGGGAAGAAATAGGGGGAAAAAGGCAAGAGGGGGCAACAGCCGGAGGAGGAAGAGGCCCAGAGGAGAGGAGGGAACGCTGCCGAGAGAAGCAGCGTCAGCGGGTTTGCTGGCAGAGGGCGGGCCTGATGTCTCCAGACAAAGGCGTTTGCTGGCAGCAGGGTCTCTGAGGGGCACACGCTTGTGCGTGTGCAGTGGGGAGAGCGAGGCCACTGGGGTGGGGGGGTGAGGGGGACATTCTGTGGACATGGCTGAGGGTGACGAGGCGGGCATGGCACACATGCTCCTCTGACTTCTGCCACGTCAGGGACACAGGGAAGAGGCGTCTTCTAGCGAGAGAGGCCGGGAGGAAGGGCCACGGAGGCTGGCCCGCTTTCCGCTCCAGCTTGCCGCCAGCCTTGCAGTGCAGCGGCCATGAGTAGGGTGGCCTCCGAATGGGAGTTTGGGGGCTACCTGATTACTTGCTAACTCAACAGACCTGGGCTACACTGAAACCCCTCAACCTCTTCCCTTTAGAAGCAGCATTTTTCCAGCCACAATCCTTTGTTCTAGGCCAAACCCTTCCCAGAGAATACTTTCTGTTTTCTCTGGACCACCATCCAGATGGCTGAGTCTTGGAAGGAGAGTAGAGAACTGCAAGCACCTCCCAGACTGAACCCCCACCCTCCTTCACAGGTGGGAGAGACTAAGGCCCAGTCTGGGCAGCACCTCCAGGGCATACAGCACAGCAGAGCAGCTGCACGCAGCTGGGGTCCTCTGAAGTCACCGTTGTTTGCAATTTGGGGTGTGAGCAGGGAAATGGGTAGCTTAAGCTTCTCTGGAGGGACAGGAAGACGGGGTACTCCTTGGCCAGAGAGGGACGTCCCCAGGCTCCAGGGCCCATGGAGAGAGGTCAAGCAGAACTCTCAGGCTGTGAAAAACAGAAGAAGCCCTCCCCGGTGGGGTAGCGGTCTAGAGCGGTCTAAAGTGCAGCAACGGCACCGGAGGTGACCCACACGGGGCAGCAGACCTCTCCTGACCCGCCCGCTGCTCCCCTCAGCAGTGTACTTCGTCGGTCTGCCTGTTGTGCTCCCCGCTCTGTCTCTGGTGAATCCTCTCACCACCCCTGCTCCTCTGGTCTGTACCCCAGTTCTGTATGCACAAATAAATAAATAAATCTTTAAACAAACAAACAACCAGGAGAGAGATGAGGAGAAGGACTCAGACCCCTGGGTTTCTGGGTGCTGAAAGGCTCTGCCTCACCAACTCCAGGTGAAAAGGTGCTTGCAGACGCTGCGGCAAGTCCTCAGAGAAGCCTTAGAGTGCAGGAGACACTGATGGGGACAGTCAGACTGCCTCCCCC